TGCGCGGGCCCGCCCGTCCCGTGGTGCCGACCCGCCGCCGCGCTAGTCAGCCCTGTCTTCTTGCTCTTCCTTCGCGTGGAGCTCTGCCTTGGGGCGGTTTCCGTAGCCGTATTACAAACAGCGTTATAAAAGGAAGTGTTATGGAGTATATATGTAACTGGGGGGAAGGGCGGGGCAGGGGAGGGTTCTTTTTAATTCAGATTGCCTTTGCTCCTCTCCTTTAGGATAAGGAGAAGAAGAAGAAGGAGAGTATTTTGGACCTCTCCAAATACATCGACAAAACAATCCGAGTGAAATTCCAGGGTGGGAGAGAAGGTGAGCCAGCGGTCGGCCCCGGGCCGGGGATGAGACATGTGCCTCTGCAGCATGAAACTTACTTTGCATTTTGGCGTTTTTCCTCGCTCTTTGTTTGTCGGCTTTTGTCTCCTGTGTGGTCACGTTGCTTTCTTTCAGTGAGAGACGATGAGTAGCGGGTGCTTTTATTTGTTACTGTTTGCTGTTACTGGTGTGAAGCTTATCTCCTTTAACTTTTCCATTAATCCTCTGGCTGCAGTTTTATCTTTGTGTTTCATCCGTGCACCTTTCTTTCATCTTTTATTAGTTGTCTTCAACTGTCTTGTTTCTTTTGGTTGTTTTTTTGACATTGCAAGGGTGCACTTAAGGCAGCAAAGAAACATTTACAATGAATACACCTGTCATCCCTTTCATCTCTTAACGTGCTAAGTGTGCCTGGAGTTTATAGATCGTTTCAATATATTTCACCATGTCTTTTCATCACTTTCCGAGGCTTTTACGTCGTTTCCCCCCCTTACTTGCTCCCTTGCCGTGTTTATAGCTCTCCATCCCGATACAGCTGATAGTGCCACCTGCAGACTACTTGTTTGTCTGAAAGTTAATAGCTGCGTGGGAGATGCTCGGCAGATGCTTTTGCTAAAGCAAACTCGGTTTGCTTTTAAAAATCTCAACACTCCACTGGGACCTGATGCTTACAATGTTTTGGAAGTTGCTTGGACTCCTTACTGATAAATGTGGGGTTTGGGTTTTTTTTTTGGGGGGATAGTTTTTGGGCAGTTGACAATTCCATTGAATCTATTGGTTTAGGTTTTCTTCTCAAAATTCACACCAAATTCCTTTATGATCTTCATATAACACCTGGGATTGTAAGAGTCTCTTCTTTGATTTGGGCTGTTAGCAATGATAGTAATGCTGGTAATCAACAAGTATTTTTCAAACTGGGACGTCATTCGGTGTAGTTTTGCGATTTATTTAGTGAGCAGTTGTGTGGAATCATGTTCTGTTTTAGGACAAAGTGCATGTCTGTCTGCAGTGCATTCCTATGAAGGCAGTGCTTATGCTAAAGAAATAATGTTCCAGGAGGGCACCTGGAGGATGGTTTTCTGAGGAAAACACTTCAAAATAGTACAGTCTTCCCTCTTTTTTTTTGACATACCCCTTCGCTAAGGGTATTTATTTGGTTTTGGGGTTGGGTTTGGGTTTTTTTGTGGTATGACTTGTATTGATTTGTGATGCTGAAGTATTCTTAAAATGCCCCTGAAACTGGCTGAAAACAAAAATGTTAGTGTTTTGAAGAACATTTTGAAGAATTGGTTGAAAAGCCTGTAAGTTTCAGTTGGCACAACACAAACCGGGTTCTCGTGCATTTGCACTTAGATAAAGAGGGCACTGTTTAATATCTCTGGGCTTATTTGCTTGGTAGCCTTGCTTGAAGGAGGGAACAGAGCTGGAGAGCTGAATGTGTCCTTCATGCAGTCTTGTGTTGCTCTATACCTGGGTTTGTATACCTCTAATCATTGTTTTGTGTGTGGTCTTCAATAGCAAGTGGTGTCTTGAAAGGATTTGACCCTCTTCTGAACCTTGTGCTTGATGGTACCATTGAATATATGCGAGGTAAGTAATATGCTATCTGTGTAGAAAGCTTCCCGTCCTCCCCCCGCCCCCGCCAAGAATAATTTTCTTAACAGACACCTTACAGCTCTGTGAATGAATAACCAGAAACTGCAGGTTGACATCATCCGAACTGAGACATGTTCGTGATAGTTAACTAAGTTGTAAAGAAAGGGATAAGGTAACAGAAGTTAGATTAAGCACATTCCCTGTGGTCGAACATTCTTGGTAGTCCTTGCTTGAGCTCCTCTATAACTCATTTGGTGCTCTTGTCCTCTAAAACTTGAATAAAGTAGTGTGTGTCTCTTCAGATAAGGCAATTGCCTTTGCCTTTGTTTTTACTGCTGGAGGGTTGCCGGTTTGCTCAAAGCAGGAAAAGCATCTCAGCAAGAACTCGTATCTTACTGTCTTAAACTCTGCTGTAAATGCAATTTTTGCATTTCTGTGGAACTAAAGCCTTCTATAGCTTCTTAGAGCTAATAGAGCTGTAGGGTTTTTTCTTATTTTTTGTTTCTTTTTCCCATCCAAGGATAAATACTACCATTTCCCTTTCTCCCCTCTGAAACAAAATTCATCATATGATAGCACAGCGTTTTTGAAGAGTTTTCTCTTGCCTGCTTACAAGGAAGCACCTGAAGCTTTAATTTTGCTCTTAGAAGGGAGTTTTAAAAGATGAGTGTAGTGCAATTTTATCAAATATATTGACATCTCAAGGAGGATAGAATTGGCTATTGCTGTGTTAAGTGTTTGTCTGTCTGTCCCCATCCACAGCCTTGTTTGGCTTGGTCTGGGAAGGGACCAGTGCATTCTGTACTTAGTGCATTCTGAAGTCAGAGTCTCTTTCTGATTTGCATTGATCCCAAAATGTTTGTCTATAATGGCATTTGAAATGGGGTCAGGAGCTTCTTTAATCACTTGTATGTATGGGTTTGGTTAGATGAATGAAAGGGCCTTTGAATTCTTTAAAAGATATGTGTTCTGCTTTGCATACAAAGCAAAATTCTTTATTGCTTACTGTGGCATGTGCTATTTTGAAAATTAGTGAATCAGTAACGTCTTGAAGACATCAGATATTACTGTTGCATCACTTTATTATAGTCCATGTGTTCAACAAAACAATGCAGAGACGCTTGGAAAAAAAACAGTATGTCTGTGCCTTTTGAAGTTGATGGAATTTGGTTTCTTTTCCTTGTGTTGCCATTGTAACTGTGAAGCTCTGCTTTTCAGATCCAGATGATCAATACAAATTAACAGAAGACACACGTCAGCTGGGACTTGTGGTCTGCAGAGGGACTTCTGTGGTTCTTATTTGTCCACAGGATGGAATGGAAGCTATTCCAAACCCTTTCATTCAGCAGCAAGATGGCTAATGCTTTCTTTGGATTGTCTCTGAAGACTTCAAGGGTGCAATCATCGGACAAAACTATCATTGTGTGAGAAGCTTCCTGTTTGGGGGGAGGAGTTTGAATGTGTATTTGTTAGTGTGAAAGAATGGTCAACTTTTATTTTTGTGGCTTTTCATAAATGATGAGAGGATGGGGCATGGTGTGTAAGAAGTAAGTTCTGATTTCCCCCTCTTCCCCCCCCCAATAAATGTGTAACTACATTGTTTAGAGCTGACATATTAGCTGAACGTGATATATTAGGAGAGAATATATTGTCATGGAATTGTCTGAGACCTTCTTGATCTTGTGAGTTTTGAAACAACCACATAAAATTAGTAAAGAATGCCCTGAATATTGGTTATATTATTTACATTTTTAAATACATTAAAAATGTATTTAATCTAAATTAATCTAAAGCCACAATACATTGGAACATATTTTTCTTCATCTTAGATGTCAGTAGTCAGCTGGGAAGCATTGTGTTGTAGTCTTCCTGCTGTTGAGTTCAGTCTCTTTTGCCTGCTTGCTCCAGCACATGCAGGAAAATTACTTTCCTTGTATAGTACCTTGTCATCACCTGTACAAGCTATGTAGCTAAGATGATCTTCTCTAGCACTTTTTCCAGACCTTGTGGGCTGTGATCTATGCATCAGAAGGCTCCCACATTTCTACAGAAGGATTGGACTAACTTCTAGGATGATTCTTGGCTGAGTGACATGAACCTTACAGAAGTCTCTATTTGATACTTGGAATTTTAGGGGAAGAATATTTAAGATCCTAATGTTCAGTTGTAGGCAGTGTCTGGAAATACTGCATATTTTTATATTGTAGCTATCTGCTTGTGGTTCTGCTTGTTATAACTTGATTTGTAAGTAAACATTTTTATTTCTTTTATACTGCAGAAATAGCAAGATTTGAGGATTTTTGACTGAATAAATACAAATAAATCTGTTCCTGAAAGTCTGGTTTTTAGTCTGAAAAAGTGCTCTACAGCTGACGTTGCAGTTCTCCACAGCTGTAAATCTAAATAAAATTTATTCAGGAGGTGTGTAAACACAGCAAAATCAGGAGGGACCAGATCAGAAGCTGTGCTCCACTCTAAGACAGGAAATCAATGAGAAATGACTGACAGCATCTGGTCCCTTTTCTGAGGATTGTGTATTTCTTTTAGGCATTTTAAAGACCGTCTAGTAGAGGATATGTGCCTGTAGGCTGTATGTAACCTGCTTCTGTCACCTGCTTTTTCTGAGGACCCTTTATGAGGAGACTGTGGCAGAGTAAATTGTTTTGGTGGCAGCAGCAGTCTTGTTCCCAGAGGTTGTCAAGAAAACATGCTAAGGACAGGTTGTATTGGCTGTTCATTTTGGCAACAGCACCGTACTGCCATTCATAGCCTTTTCTGGGTCAGCTCTGAAATGGATGGGAACTTGAAGTAAATAAATTCCAGTTCAATGTACCTGACTTTTCCAGCAGGCTATGAAACTAGGGACCAGTTGTCTCATGTGGCATGGTGCCTGTGTAAACTTGAGTGCTTCTGGATTTTAATCTCCTAGGGGTTCATTCTTTAAATGTTTCACAGAGCTGTCTCTAGAGTCATGCTCCTTCCAGCATAATTTGTTTCTAACACTAGAAAACTTGTTCTTCATGCAATTGCACAATTCAAAAGACATTCCTTTATTTAGAGTGTTTGGAGCAGAATTTGCTCACCATCAGCAATGTTGAACTGTCCCTTAGGTGGGAGAGAGACTGATGGTTGTTGATACCAATAACAAGCTGCACCATCTCTGCACTCTCTTGTTTCTGAGTGTAGCATCAGAAACAGACCTGCTGAAGCTCTCTTGAGTGGATTCCAGGCTCTAGATGCAGAGGGTACAGAGAGATCTGCCTGAAGACGTGTCAAGTGCATAAACTCTGGAGAGGGGCATGTTCCTAGCATTTCCTGCTAAGTTAATAGGTTGCTCAGTCTTCATTGCAAGATACATGGCTGTCCTTCTCTGCAGTGCAGACTTCTGGGTTATATTTGGGAGTCAAGTACCTGAAAATAAGAACATGAAAATGATAACTGAATTTTAAATGTGTATATGCTTTTTAAATTGGATTAATTCCTAAGTGTGACTCCTTATAAACCATTTGTAACCGCAGTTTTTCAGGAGCCTCTTCCAGAAATGCAGGAGGGAACCTCTAGGGAAAAAAGGTTTTCTTGATCCAGGTAGCACTATTTTGCTTGCTGCTCCACTGAGAAATGGGACTGAATCTTGCTGGGAATGGGCTCTTTGGGATAAGGGGCACTAGTTCAAGGTCACTATGCAAATCTCTCCACTTAATAACTTGGTCTAAACACTTTGGAAAAATTCACTGTGTGGAATCAGTGAGCTGTTCCTTGTACTATGACTGTATTTATTTAATGCATTGAGATTGAGGATGACCAAATATGTGACAGCCATCTGGGTTTGAATGGGGGCTCATTCTTTCCCCCCATCTCTTACTACAGTATAAAGTTAAATATATACTGAATACTGCAGGCAACCTGGAATTTGATATTAAACTTGAACTGATGAAGGATGTGGCTTTGGGGAAATCTGTTTTTTCCCAGGAAGTCTCAAGCTTTCCTATGTTTTTGATTTGCAGAAGTGAAAAGTATTGTAATGGCTACTTTTTTCCAAATGGGTTCAATATTCTTCTACAACTTCTTCATATTTAGTCAGTGCTTTGGAAGGTTTTGGTTGTTTCTCCTCTCTCCTCATAGTCCAGGATTTTTGCCTGGCTAACAGCTCCCCTGATTCACTGTGGTCTTACCTGGCTAAGGTAGATGCCAATTAAATCTGTATTTTTTTGGTTATACAGCTCTCCTGCTATTGCTGCTCTGAAAGCACCAGGAAAGACTGAAGAGCAAAGCAGGAGGGTAGAAAACATTCTATTTTTAGGACAAGATTGGCTTATCTTGTATTTATCCTAGCAAGGGGGATAATGTTTCCAGAGACCTCACATGAGTAAAGGCTGCGTAAGGGCTGAGTTAATTTTAACTGCCTGGCAGTCAGCACGCATGGAGCCTGCACAAGAACCAGAGGAGCTGGGATCTCAGACAGAAATGATTGCAGACACAATTCTTGAGGTTGGAGAGAGACTCTTTCAGGTCAGCCGTAGGGTACTTTCAGTACACAGTCGTTATTTTGAAGCCATGTTTTTTGGCGGGGCAAGAGAGAGCTCTGAACACCATATAGTGATCAGAGGGATTGATGCAGTGCCTTTTCAGGCGCTACTTGAGTTCACTCGCACAGCCCAAGTGCTTATAGGTCAAGAAAATGTGACTGGCTTACTGGAAACAGCTGATTTTTTTCAGTTTGACAGGGTGAAACTGTTGTGTAAGAAATTTTTGGAGAGAGAGCTGCATGTTTCCAACTGCCTGGGCCTGATGATCTACTCACAGCAATTTGCCTTTATAGAGCTGTATGTGACTGCTATGAATGTGGCTCTCACTCACTGGGGGGATGTGATGTGCCAGGAAGAGTTTAAGGCACTGCCCAAAGAAATGCTGATGCAGCTCCTAAAAAGTGATGATCTCTTCGTTCCGCGAGAAGATGTGGTTTTTGACAGTATTATGAGGTGGATAATGGAGGACCCGGCAACGAGAGAGGAAGACTTTATAGATTTGGTGGGCGAAGTCAGGGTCACTTTTCTGAGTTTATCCTTCCTCAATATCTTGGTGAAACGCAGCAAGCGCCCTGGAGAGACAGATACCTTTTCCAGATTAATAAAGAAGCTAGACAGCTGTCCTCCACTCAGCTGGCAAAATACGGAACTGCGTCCTTACGCTGGTCGGAGCTATGACACCTTATATGTCCTGGGAGGAAAGCATGACAAGGAACAGCAAGAATTATTTCTCTTTCAACCTAAAACAGGGAACTGGCAAGCCTGTTCTCCATTGCAGCGCAGGAACCTCACCCAATATGCAATGGCAGCAGTAGGTAACTTACAGAGAAGTGGAACTGAGCAAATGCAAACAGAAGTTGAGGCTTAGAGACACAAATGCAGGAATTTCAGCTGCTTCTGTAAAACTGCATTGTTCAGCGTTGCTAAAACCTCATTCATATTTGTGTTTATATTCATTCAAAGAATGGTTTTGTTTTCCTTAGTCCTGGGAGAATGTTAGGCAAAGCTGAATATTTCTTTTCATATAGCAGAAACTATTAAACTCCTTACATTAGCTTTATCTGGAGTGAGTCTAATGACTTCATTTTAAGTAGCATTTTTTTTTTTTTTTGGCCTTCTCTTTCATGGTGGTTTTGACAGATGGTGACTTCTGATTTATAGTTGCCATTAAGTAAAACTTACCATGAATGTTGTGAAATCTTCATGCTTGGAGACTTTCAAGACAGCTCAATACCATGGCTTCCCTTGGTGTTGGTGATAGTCCCATTTCAAGTGGGAGTTTGGACATGAGATTCCCAGAGGTTCTTTCCAACCAGTGTTTCTGTGATTCTGTTCAAGAGTGGGAGCAGACTTGGAAGGACTTACTGCATCCTGTAGGCCCAGCATATCTGTGCAGATTAGGAATCAAATACTGCAAACTGATACAAAGAGCAGTGATTTTCTCTGCTCATTTTGCACCTCATTGGTACAGCCCAGGGAGAAATGAGAACCCTAGTTCTCAGGAGCAATTTTTAGCTTTCCTGTAACTGATACTTTTCTCTGCTGTCTTTCCAGGGAGCTTCCTTTTTGTGACAGGAGGATATTTCCGGGATGAGTTTGTGTGGCATAGTGTGGATTGGGTGCTTATCTACAATTGCTTGGACAATAGTTGGCTGGAAGGGCCTGCCATGAAGAAGTCCCGCAATAGCCATTGTGCAGTAGGAGCAGGGCTCTACTTGTATGTACTTGGAGGGAGCACAGATGAAGGGATAATCCCAGCAGTGGAGCGCATGGCTTTGATGGAGTCAGAGTGGGAAAGCATGAGTCCTATGGCTCAACCTGTGGAGAGAGGAGATGCGGTCAGTGTGGGAACCAGGATCTATGTTGTCTGTGGCCTGGATAAAAATGGACACATATATGATGGAGTGCAAAGGCTGAACACAGAGACGGACATCTGGGATGTCATCTCATTCTCCCCGCTTCCAAGGTAAGAAATAATCTTCTGGGACCTGGCAGGAGAAAAAAGGTTCTAGTGTTGGTCCTGCTCCAAGAAGAGGTTGGACTGGAGAAATCCAGAAGTCCTGTCCCACCAACACTTCTGTGATTCTCTGTTTAAATGGGACACTTGATATGAGGATCAAGTTGCACTGAATATTTCAGGGGCTAGATCTTTCTATTGATTCTGATCAAGGGTTTCTTCTCTCCCAGGTATGACCTCTGCATCACATCACTGAATGGTGCTCTGTACACCATAGGAGGGGGAGCTTTTCGATTTGATGTGGAGACAGATGAATGGACCCAGGTGGATGAGGAATGCTTGACCCAGAAGTTCTTCATGGGATGCAGCACTGTGAATGGACGAATTTATCT